GCAGAAATGAGTCACCTTAATTTTCATAATAAATACCGATGAACTAGAGCTAACCTTCATAAGTAGGAAGTTATAATTAACTAGGTTGTCTGGTTAACTAAGGGTTAATTAAAAAAAAAAAAACCCTTCCTCCCATGCTGTCATTCTTTTTTTTTTTTAATGCTTTGATCCTTTTCGTTGAAAATCTTTTAAAAATGTCCATCTTTCCTTTCTGCTGAAGCTTCCTAGCACGTTCTTCATTCACCAAGATTCCTCACATTGGAAGGATCTTGAAGGTCCTTGATGTGGTCATTTCTAATTTTATGGGCATGTGGGGGTGACCACTTAGCTGGGGAGGGTACCAGACTGGCATCTCCCATTGACAGTACTCCTGTAGTCATCATGAAGGCATGAGCTCTCACAAAGCAAGAAAAAAATTTATTTCTTGGTGGAAAACCTCTACTAAGTAAGAGAGAAAACTTTGGTGAAATTTGAGAAGGTGATTAAGTCGTCTCGTCCACATAAACATGGGAACCAGATGGTTTTTGATGGGAAAATGTGATTTGTGAGAAAGTAGAAATCAACATAAGTAGTTCTGAAGTTGCAAATTTGGGGGTTTGAGGTCCCAGAACAGAGCCTTTTGAATGTTGAGGGTCTACAATACAGACAGTGAAACATAACTGGATTCTTGATGCCTGAGGCTACGGTGGGGCCTCAGAATCATCGCCAAAGCATTGGGATAAGGGAGACAGATGTAGAGGGTATGGGAAATTGGGCTGTGCTTTAACTTCAAGGTAACTTAACAAACAAATTCTTAGTTTGGTCATTACTTGCTCCATGACCCTAAGAGATCAACGTCTAGGGATGAAAACAATATAAACACTTAACTGATTGTTCAGATTTATTACATTCTACTCAATCCTTGAGTTACTGTGTGGCTCTGTGAGGAGCTACTTTACCTGATTAAAAAAAAAATCCAGTAACTTTTATTTAATTAACAAGAGAGGTTAAGCCTGATGAAAAGTTGTTTTGAAAATTTTACATATAGCATCCTTTGTATGAGCAGAGCTAGAGGGAATACGGTCACTACACAGTAACATTACTAGAAAGATAAGGAGGGGTTAGTGGGTTAGCTAAAGGCAGAGACCACACAGAAGAAAAGATGGAGGAAAAATAGGAATAAAGCAGAGTCTTTCATTGTTTCTTCCTATTTTTCTTCTGCTGCACCCCTTATCCCTCCATTCTGCAGTCAGACAAATGATAAGGAAAAATTCACACCATTCCTCACCCCACCATTTCTCCATCTACGTACACAGATATATCCTTCGGGGCTAAGTTCACACGTGACACCATTGAACCAGCAATGCCTGGTCAGTGAGTACAAGTGAGTGTTAGCCGTGCAACGTGCTGTGCCTTGGTCCTGGGAGAGACTAGCTGGGAGAGACTAGTTTTCATGTGGGACAGTGACAGAGACCAAAGGCCTCTTGCAAACCCCATGGATCTATGGAGATCGAGACCCCATGCATGTTTACCTGGGGAGCCTGCCAGAGAGTCCCCTCTGCTGAAGACGAAGGTACGAGACACAGAGACGGGCACTAAAGAGTCAAGGATTTGTGAGTTGCGTAAGGGAAGATAAACATAAAAGGAGAGAGACAAAGAGCAAAGCGTGTGAGACAGTCTGTTCCCGGATCTTCACAACATCACATTTCTCTGCCAAAGTGAATCTTGCCTCTGGAAACATGAAAATTGCATCCTCTCACAAAGTCACTCTCCAGAAAGAAGAAAATAAAATAGACTTTGCTGAAGGTCTTCCAAAAAGATGCACAATAATTTCTGAGGGGATCAGACCCGCCAATGACAAGAACAGGCAGTGCCCCAGCAGGGAGTGTGTGTGGGCAGTGTTCTGTCTGAGGCGCCTTTTGGAGCCAGCAAATGTGCTGGGAGCCCAGCACTGTATTCCCACCGGGCTCTCCCAGCTGCCTCAGGTCTCCAGCTCACCTGTGGGAGGGGTGAAAGCAAGTGCATGCTCCTACTAGGGGCATCCTCGAGGAAGCTGTCTCCTGCCTCAGACTCCTAGGAGCTCCCTCTGTGGTCACAGTGCTGGGGGAGAAACTGTGCGTGGCTAGAGCCTTGGGACACAGGAAGGGCAGCATTTCTCGCAATCTTAATGTAAATCGACTTGATAAACTAAATCAGTCATTTCTTTGCAAGTACAAGTGCTCCAAACCACCTCTCTTCCTATCCCCTTTTCCTTCTCTCTCTTTCCCCACAGAGTCTGAAATGGTGCTGGCTATCGCTTGGGGCCTGGGTGGGGTGGAGGGTGTAGCAATACTCCAGTCCTTTCCCGACCTTGACCCTGATCAAGTAGTGTTTCTGCATAGGAACCTGTTTTCATCTCTCTTATCTGGTCATTCCCAGAGTCTCTTCCAAGGAGCTAAATGAAGTCAGAGTGCAGGTGACAGCACAATGAAATAGGTGGCTTCCATAGTCTTAGCAGCTGAGCCCGATGACTTGCCTGAAATTATCCAATAGTACAAAGGAGTGGGGAGGGGAAAGCCTTATACCTACTTGATAATCATTTGCTTTGTCAAATAATCATATTCTTTGTCAAAGAATATTTTAACAGGCCCCTAGTGTCACGAGACACACTGGAATAAGAAACCCCATTGTCTCAAGAAGAATCCTAGCACTTCTGGGCCACAAATTACATGTATACCCAGCCAAGCAGATAGGAGACTTGTTCTCTCTCCAATTGCACACCACCGTGGGCATCTGTTCTGGTCACGCTGAGCTCAGGCCCCGTTCCTCCAGAGTGCCAGGCTCACCACGGTCCTCCTGGGTTCCCTGGCAATCAGAACCAAGACAAAGGAGATAGTGCTGACTGCGTTCCCTTTGCCCTGCACAGGAAAACCAGAGGGACTTACTTGTGACCTCGAGTTCAACTGTGAGGCATTGGTCACAGGGCCAGTGTTCTGGCAAACTCATTGTCTCCTTTATTACCCTCAAGGCTGACAAAGCTCTAGGCTGGCATCAAGGACAGGGGTAGTTTGGTAGACTGAGACCCTACAAGAGTTTACTGCCTTGTGGCTCAGCTTAAGCTCTTCCTCAACCTACACGTGAGGTCCTTGGCTAGTGAAAGATGCTGGGTGGCTGGACCTGGGCTGAGAGTGGACCTGGAACAAGGGGGGGCAGGTGGTGGGGTGGTGGTCTTTGGAGTTCTTCACGCTTTGCTGTATTAGGTAAGGAGGGCTTGGGGGGGAGGATGGAAAATGTCTCCATACCCCTACAGGCTAATTTAATTTCTTTTTCCTCCTGAAGATTGATAAAGATGCTCAGAAGTGTGGGGAGGGAAAGAGAGGTTAATATTTCTTTTTAGTTAACCAGTTTTGAAGGAGAGATTAATGTTGCAAATTTACTGTGTCTCACATATAAAATGGAAGGATTTTGATAGAAAGAACTAGAGACAGGAAGGAAGGAAAGGAGGAAACCAGATGACATCTTCTTACTACTTAAAAAACTTTTTTTAAAAGAAAGAAAGTCATCTAAATCAGATGGGCTTGGGAGCTTTAGGTAGCTCTTTTCCCCTAGAGTTCCCACATCTTTTGGTCTTATGGAAGAGCCAGAATAAGGCCAACATGTCTAGGTAACATTTCATATCCCAGGAGTTACTCTACCATGAGCAATCCCCAGTGTGATGGATGGTGGAAATCTCCTTTAGAGAACCAAGGTTTACCAGGTCCTGTAGACCATCCCTCTCCCATCTAGATTTCTTGTTCTGAGAACTGACACTTCCTTCATCAACCTTAATTGAGATTTGTTGGTTTATATAAGTATAATAATGTACGAGGATGTTTTATTTTACAGCTCTCCTTCAACTCATCTTGGACCACCCCTTGGGTGTGGGCAGCTACTTCAACTTCATTTCAGACATCTGCTGGGCTAGGATGTGAAGTTACACTGCAAATTGTTCCAATATTTCCACATAGAAATTACATTCTGGAACATGATGGATTTAAAATCTCTATTTCATTGTGCTGTGTGAACTAGTCAGGACACCGGAATGCATCTAGGTAAATCACCAACCTGCTGGGTGATTTGGAGCAAGTCATTTCTTTAGTTTCTCTGTGTTAAAATGGTATCTACTTTTCATGTGCCACGGATTGTGATATCAAGCTTTGGGTCCCTCTGATAAATCCCAGTAAAAAGCACTATGTAAAATCTTTCTTATGATGAGAAAAAACACCCCTTTGGCATTAAAATGGCCACCATAAACACTAAGAGCTGAAAGCAATGCAAAATTCAGACCGGTGAATCAAAGAGAAATCTAGAGAAATAATGCTTTCTGGATCACACTTATATCACAATAAATGCCATGCTCTCTAAGCACAAGTGCAATAACTTATGCAGGAAACAGAGAGAAGGTAGAGCACAGAAGGCGCAGAAGACACCCGCCAGCAGCCCCGTGCCAGCCCCCACCAGCATGCACGGCCAGCTGCAGACACTTCTCCACCAGCTGAGATGTGGTAAACGAGGAAAGAGAAGCAGATAAGCAACATACGCACCAGCCTGGGACTTACATCCTAAGATCTTGCAGTCACTTCTTACTAACCGCCACAGACACAATAATAGCGTATTAGGGTTTGCAAGTAAAGGACAGTGGGTGAATTATCACAGCAGCGAAGGAAAGGCTGAACCTCCAGCAGAGCACACAAACCACCTGCCTGCATTCCCTGGCAGGTGACAATAAAAGGTGCCTCCCCTCACAACCTCCCTCCCCCGTCATTCGTCATTTGCACTTGAGCAGAGAAGCAGCAGAAAACATTCCAGACACGCAGAAACTAAGCCCCCTGTGGTCCGTGGGTACCTGGCAGAAAGCAGTGTTCCTGGCAGAGCATACAAAGAGGCTGCCAGCATTTGTGTTAGCCCTAGCCCAGGCTGAGAGTGCTCGGTCCAGGTCCCCAGAGTGGGCTGAGGCGGGACCACAGCAGGGAGGATGAGGGAGGGGTTTGAGAGATACATACGAAGGACAGAGGATCCAGCCAGACTTCCAACCTTCCGCACATCGTTATCTAAGGACAGAAGGATGCAGTGTGTTTCAGAGGCAATTCAGAAAACACACCTTCTTAAAGGAATTCTCCCTCTTCCACCCCACCCACAGCACCAATCAACCCTGTAAAAACAGGGCAATCAGGTGGAAGTGTAAAAAGTAAAATAAACTTGTCTTGTCATATTGAAAATTACCACTATCCATCCCTAACACTGGGTAATGTTACAGTCTACCATGTACTTCCACATCTAAAGCCTGGGAAGGTAAAAGGCTTGTTCAGGGTCCATAACGGGAGTCACAACTTGAACCCAGATGCATTTTCTCCACTGTCCCACTGCTTCCCCAATAAGCTATGGCTTGGAAACTGGAATACCTGAGCAAGCAGTGGTCATGATGGCTGGGACACCATAGTAGGTGAAGGCTCCGTTCTCGAAGCGAAGGCCTTCCTTACCAACCTCCACCTCCACTTTACCCTGGAGAAAGAAGGAAGTGTACTAAGGGTGTGGACAGCACTTCCAGATCTACTAGTGATTACGACCCTAAGCACTTCTGCTTGGATAGTAAGTGGACTTAAAATCTTATCACAGGGAAATGTGAATTCTGTCTGGATACGTTTCAGAAACAGCAACTCCAACTTCAGAAGGCCTTGGCAGTAAATTACTTGCTTAGTTCATAAAGCAGCATCCTGTCATGTACATCCAAGCTTTCCTTGCAGACTGTAATGGCTCTTCCATGATGCGGGTCCGGGCACCAGCTAGCCCAGAACCCTGTAAACTGCCCCACAGGTGTAGTCTGAGACTAAACCATCTCTAAGTCTGGCTGAGATAAAGCCTGATTCTGTGAGAAGCTTGTGCATATAGTGTGCGTCTATGGGCCTGAAATCCACTGCATGGATCCGCCCACACCCTATGAAGCCTGTACTATTTTTATCCCCAGTTTATAGATGAATCATTTCTGAGGCTCAGAGAGGTTAAATAGCTCGGTCATGGTTAGTTAGACTTTAAAGCTAGATCTTTCCAATTTCTGAACCTACACTCTTGCCACTACATTTTACGCCTCCAAGATTTATTTGAAAATGGTTAAGTTTATATTAGGCATAAGACTCTATGTGTTCCTTGTGTTATATAAACGATGTAACAGGACACTTCTCCATTTCCAACAGTAAAGAGTGTAACTCCATTTCTGGAGAAGAGAGAGCATTTTACTGAGGCTATCTGGAAGGATGGGTGTGAGGCACACTACCGAGTCCGAGCAGACAGGCTGCAGGGGAACTGTAACAGAGAGGCCCTTTCTAAGTCCATGTGAGTTTAATGAAGATTTTAAGACAATCACTGTATTTAGGGTTCACCAGATTCTGTTGGAAAGAGACAGGGAATAGGGACGGAGTTAATGGTGGAGCCAGGCCAGGACAGCAGTACTACCTAGTGCTGGAACCATGCCTGACGCTTATTTACAGGCCTTTCCAGGCACCCAGGGCAAAGGGTGACTGTACTCCTGTGAGTACCGGGAAGATGCTGCCCCTCTTTCATTTGCTCGTTTGCTCCCTTCCCAGTCTTCTGAAGGAGAAGATTAAGGGACTGCAAAGGCTGAAGTGTGCTAGAGAGAGCGGATGTGTTCTGTGCGCTTTCAGAGAGCAGAGCAAGGACCAGTGGGTGGAAATCAGAGATGGTGAGATTTCAGCTCAACAGAGAGAAGGGCCTGAAACAAGAAGTGCCTGAAGTTTGGGAGGCAGTGCACAGTTGCATTCCCGGGCATGGCCAAGCAGAGACAAGGAGGTGTTAGGGATTCTGTAGGGCAGCAGGTTCGGAAATTCAGCGGCAGAACCCCTCTGCTGGGAGGTACCCACTGCATCCCACCACAAACATCGCTGATGTCAGATTAAATGCCATCAAGATCCCAGCACTCCAGGACGCCAGCCAGTCACACCTGTCCCCTCTGAGCGTCGCGGACAAACACCCACACCAACTGGCCTTGCTCCCAGGGCAGCCAGCCGAGCCTTGGAACCTGGCACAGAGGAGGCATGGCCGTTCCTCTCCAGTCTAGAGAGGTCCTGTCTTGCCCTTGGGGGGGGGTCCATGGCTTTCCCACTCACCTGCAGAAGTAGCACAAAGTAGTCCACAGGGCGGTTGCGCTGGTACAGGTAGTGTTCCGGGGCCTTCTTGTTCTTCTCATCACACTTCAGCTCCTGGATCACGTTGGGATGTTTCAGGAGCCGCAGCAGGATCTTCTCCGAGAGGTACAGAGACTTAAACGGCTCCACTTCTAGGGGAGACCGGGAGGCAGAAGGATTGGCAGCTGGGAGGAGTCAGGATGGGCACAGCCAGGGCCATTCATGCTCTCAGGCACCAAGCTAGCAGGATTCCTTCAGTTCCCTTGGGTGGGTGGGGGTCTTAAGCCCACGTGTGTGTCTCAGGCCCTCTGGGGATGTGTGTCCCTGCAACTGGCACCTCAGGAGAAACAGGTCACCATTTTGGCAATGTCAGTTTTGTTATTATTTTTCTCCTTGACTTTATTTAAAGCTGCACATAAACTTAAAAAAGAAGAGAATCCTGCCATTTGTGACAACATGGAGGAACCTGGAGGATGTTATGCTAAGTGACATAAGCCAGGCACAGGCACAAATACTACTTGATACCATTTATATGATGAATCAAAAATAGTAAAATTCATAGAAGCAGAGAGAATGGGCTGGGGGAAGGAGGTAATGGGGAGGTATTAGTCAAAGGGTACAGAGTTCTGGTTATGCCAGATGAATAAATCCTAGAGATCTACTGCTCAGCCTAGAGAGCCTAAGAGCAATACTATCCTGTATACTTAAAAATTTGCTAAGACAGTAGATCTTGTTTTTTTTTTTTTTTTGCGGTACGCGGGCCTCTCACTGTTGTGGCCTCTCCCGTTGCGGAGCACAGGCTCCGGATGTGCAGGCTCAGCGGCTGGGCCCGTGAGCCATGGCCGCTGAGC